CTTGTGCTCTGCTTGCCTGCACTCCAAAGAAGCATGCATCTCAAGTAGCTTGGATCTTTTTCCAGGCAGTCCTATTATTCGGGTTGGGGGGGTGGGGAAGGCTTCCTAAAGCATTCTCCTGACAAGTCACTTCTATTATTAGGGTAAGACATAACTCCTCTGCTCCTGGCAAGTACTTGCTGGACAACACAGGATTTAAATCTCCTAGAAGATATTAACGATCAAGCAAACAAGTTAAGTTTTTAATTAATTAGTTGGTGGAAATAACTTTTTAAATTGGCAAAGCTGTTTACTAAAGACCTTTTGCTAGCCTGGCCCATTCTGCTGCAGGCTACGCAAACACAAAGAACATCTCAGCCCTGTAACGTTCGTAAACAAGAAGAATCCATGCAGTGAAATGCACCTGGACTGTGCATTTCACTGATAGTCTGCTGGTCGATGTTACTGTAAGCACTGGCAGAAAGAATTTCTACTCAAAATACAACACGATGAAAGACAAAGCCCAAGAGGTTGAACTTTGTACAGCTTTACCTTTTGTACATCATAGTGAAGTCCGCGTATGGCAAACCCTGGAATGTAGTCATACTTCCCAAGCCCTTCTGGATACTAGGAAGACAGACAGCAATCTTTTAAGAGACACAGGCATTGATTATCAACAAAAGCATTTCACCTGCTGAGCTGGCTTACCAGTCCTCTCAACCCAGGCATAAACCAATCGAGGGACACGTGCACTTTGTTTTGCCCTTCAATAAAGAAAAGCGGATGAATGGAACCCCCAAATTGCTGCTCTCATTTAAGGGACACTAACAAAACCCCAACTGATCCATTCAGGCAGTACTGACTTCCAGTAAGCTCCATTCAGTGCATGCATTTGGCAAAGCAGTGGCACTGCAGGGTCCCTCTAAAAAGGAAGACACGACTGGAAGGAAACGCAAACAGGGTGTCCATTACCAGGCATGCCACGCAGCATCACCCACACTGATGTGCACGTGCCAAGTCCTGCACCCCTTCACTGCTGGCCCATGTGTATCACAAAGCTGGAAGTCTGCAGGCACGACTTCCACAGTCAGGAAAAAGACAGCTTTTTATTTCCAGACTGAAGTTCCCAGTCCGTATTTACAAAACCTCAGGAATGTAGAGCTTGGTAAATTGTTCAACAGGAAATTAATTCCAGATACAGACAAAATGTTCTGCAATCAAAGACTGAAATGTGAAATTTATGTTAATAATAATAATAAAAAAAAGCTAACAGTGCCACATGTGCACAGTGCTGCATTTGACAAGCACTGCAAAGATCAGTATGATTAACTGAAGGGAAATCCTTAGCGCACCGTTACCTTGAACTGTTCTATGAGGATGTCTCTGGCAGTGTTGAAAATCATGGAGTGCAGTAAGTTAGAATACTGTGCTAACGTGTAGTCGTAGTCAAAGCCATATATCTCAACATCTCCCAGGCTGATCTCGTTGTTGGCATAGATAGCTGCTGGGTTGAGGAGATTGCAGACTCCTGGGGGAAGGAGATCTGAGAGAGAAGAGGGCAGAGATTATAGAGAGAACCACCACCATTTCAAGCTTTCCTCTGGCCTACACAGAGCAAAGCAGGTCTGAAATATCAGATGTGCAGCCCAGCACAGCTCACCCAGGGAGCTCCCCTGCTCAGACTGCCTGCATTACCCCAATGACCCGTGGGCATTTGTTTCCCACAGAGGCAGGCAGCCCCCACAGAGCAGCCCTGCAGGCACCCTCAGGCCTGAAGGGAGGTTTATTATTCCTGAAGGAACCTTTATTTCCTTTTTTAGGAGCAGAACAGAACGCAGTTGTGTACGAGCACCACCTATGCACGTATACACACACACTTATATAAACAACAAACAAACAACCTGAAACAAAACAAACACCAAACACCCCACGCCAATGAGCCACGCTCTGCGAGCGGGTGATGCTGATAGCAAGAAGTAATCTGCGCTCTGCTGATAAACAGCTGTGGGAACAGGTCAGCTGCTGTGGTTTGTCACTCCAGAACAGGGCTTCTGCTTGTGCAGAGCCACAGCAGAGCCAGGAGCAGGCCATGTCCATGCTTCCCACTCCACGAGAGCTGCCCTTTGCAAGATAAGAACAGTACGACTCACTGCCTACAGTAGGATCCCTCATCACATCCACACTGAGGGGAGGAAGGAGACATTCCCCCCCCCAGGAGAACAGGTAATGTGATGGCAAAAGCACCAATGTTTTCCTGATCCTACCCAGCATCAGCAGGCGGTGCTTTTTTCCCCTTCCTACCTTATCATGGAGCCCATGTCAGTTCCTTAGAGCTTTCTCGCTATCTCATCTGAGTCTATTATCAGAGTGCCACCAGCCATTCTCAATTAAGACTTTGCCTGGGAACAATTAGAGAATTTACAGAGGGTGTTTTTGTACATTTGCAGGTGTTAACCTAAAGAAGCAGCACAGAGCTGCTTTCCTCTCCTAAAGGGAGGAGAATTGTAACAGCCAATGCACCCCGCTGCAGCTGCCACATCCCTACAGAGATCAACACTCACCGTTCACAATGCTTGGGACACGTTTCTGACAGTCCGAGCAGCACGATGCTCCTTTTATAGGAGAAGTGAGGCTTACTTAGATTAAAAAAAAAAAATAATAATAAAAAAAGCCAGCTGCAAAAATGCAGTCAATAAAAGCCACAACAGCTGGTGTGATTTTGTAAGGCAAGGGGGTGAAGGGAGGTCGGAAGCAGAGCTGTGCCACGCTGGGAGCAGGGGCTGCATGGCTGCCCACCCTCCCACACAGCTCTCCTCCTCTCAGACATTTTGTCCCCAGCTTACACAGCGTGCTCTCTCTGGCCTCCTAAAGGCCAAAGGAAGACGTATATGCCAGCCAAAATGCTTTCTCATCACTGCCTCACAAGTGGCACGTTCCTTACAGACGCTTCCTGGAGCACTGCACAGATGCTCACCTCCTTGCTGTGCTTTGTCACACACTGCTGCCACCAACACAAACCCACGGCTTCCCATCCCCACCGCCTCGAACTCATGGCAGCCTCCAAGTCCCTGTTGAGAAAGAAGAGCTGCTGCTGCACGCCTGGCACAGCATCAGCACCCATGTGCAGCATCCTGCATCCACAGCGCTGCTCCTATCAGCTGAGCAGAGCCCAGTGCGGATGCCTCTTCACCAACTTTTGCTTTTTGCTCTGCAAAGAGGGATTGCTGGGCAGGTTGAATAAATTACAGCAAGAAAAAAAAAAATCAAAACCAGCTTTAGTTGTCAAAACTCAGCTACGATCCCAACCTCTCTGTATGAGCAATCATTGGGAAGGGAGGCAGCGCTGCTAACTCAGCACTGCACCTGGGAAGTGTGAGCAAAGGGAGAACTGGGGGGGGGGCAAAGGGAGAACTGTGTGACCACCCAACTCAGTGCTTCTCTCTCCGAGCCACGCTCATCACACAGAGGCAAGACGTTACAAGTTCTTTCAAAAGTTCCCCAAAAAGCTGCTGCATTGTAGCTACATGCTGTAAGATAAAGCACTGAACGTCTCCTTACAGCCAAACCTTCGTTTGTTTGCCAGATCTGCTGTGTTTCAGGATTGTACATTTCCTACACTGCAGGATTCTGGAGTTGATGTTAGGAACAGTGCCTTACCAGCCTTCCTCAACACCTCCGATACCATCAACACAAACACCATCAACACAAACACCGACAGCCCCGCTCAGCACAACCCGTGCCTGTCCTTAGGGCAGAGGCCGTGTTCCTTACAGGTGATGCCCACAGCACGACCACAGCCGTTTGCTTTAACATCACAGTTACGGAGAACAAAGGCGCAGCTGGGTTCCGTTGTCCCACCACCAACGTGGGCCGATTGTGCCCGTGCCTCCTCTCCAACCTCGCCCACCCCCATTTGGCATTTAGCCCTGGAGGTAAGGCTGTGCTGGGACCAGGATCGCACACCGTGCCCCAGCTCCTCTTCTGAGCTCACTGAGGGCTTCGTGCCTCAGATCTCGAGGCTGGGGGAGGCGGCATTGACAGAAGCCGCCGATCTCAGAACCGCAAAACGGCTCTTCCAGACCCTCCGACTGCTTTTGTTTATCTAAGGGCTGGAGAAGGAAGGCGAACAGAGCGCTATTTAACGGCGAAGCGACGCCTGTAGCTGCCCACGCCGCTTCCCTTCGGAACTCCAGGAGTCGAAAAAACCTGCAGGAAAAAAAAGTTCCCTGCCCTCGTGCCACACACGTCATTGTTTCACGGTTTTTGGAGCTTAAGGCAGCTGAGATCCACCCGCCGCAGCCCCGAAGCCCACGGTCCCGCCGCGCACAAGTGGCGAAACGAACGGCTTTCCTGCCGGCCGGGACCGACCGACGGACCCAAGGCGGAGGGGGCAGACGGAGCGCACGGCCGCGCTCCCGCCGCCAGGAGCCGCGCCGCGGCGGACAAAGGCTGGGAGCAGGGCCGGTCCTTACCGTAGACCAGCTTCTTCATCTCGTGGTACCTGGCCCACAGGTAGCTCCGGGTGTCGGCGCCCTCGGACGGGGCCGGCTGGCCGCCCGCTGCGGGGCCGGGCTCTGCGCCGCGCCGCGCTCTGCCGCCGGGCAACGGCTCCCGGGGCTGGCCGTGGCCGCCGTCCGCGGGGCCGCTCCTGGGGCGGCAGCCTTGGCACGACACGGCGACGGCGAGGAGCCGGGGAGCCGCACCGCCGCCCCTCCGCAGCGCCGCGATGCCCAGCGCCGCCATGGCCGGGACGGACGGAGCGGCCTCGGGGCACGGCCGGGGCTGAAGCGGCGCGGATCGCGCTACCAAGCCGGCCCCGGCCGCCCGCGGCGGCGGCACCGAGCGGGCGGCCAATCCCCGCCGCGCCGCGCGAGGGGGCCGGGCCCGGGCCGCCGCGCCCCGCCTCGGCCGAGAGCCCCGGGGCGGCGCCGGGAGGGGAGGGGCGGGGCGGGGCGGGCGGCGGCCTCCCAGCGCGGCCCCGCCCCCGCAGCCGCCGCGGCCAATCAGAGGCAGGCGCCGGCGCGCCGCTCGTCACGTGACGCCGAGCACGTCGTTCCGGCCCGCCGTCCCGGAGCGGCGCGGGGAGGTGAGGGGCGCGGGGTCGCGCGCGAGGGGCTGCGCCGCGCTGATTGGCTGCGGCCTTCGGCGGGCCGGAGGGGGGAAAGCAGGGCGCCGCTCCGCCGGGCTCCCGCCGACCTTCGCACCGCGCCGCCCTCCCTTCCGCCAGGTGACCCGGCCATGCTGATCAGCCGCCGGCTGAGGCGCCTGCTGCGGTTGGTGCCCGGCCGGGAGCGGCTCGGCGCGTACCGCCTGCTGCCCTTCTTCTTCGTCCTCGGCGGGGCCATGGAGTGGTTCATGATCAACGTCCGCATCGGCAAGGAGACGTTCTGTGAGTGACCGGAGCGCGGGGCGACGTGAGCAGCCTGGGCTGCGGGCAGCGGTGGCGCTGCGGCTGTTCGGTCCGTTCAGCCCGGCCGTGCTGGGACCGGATCGGGGTCGCGCTCCTCTTGGAAGAGCTTACGAAGCGTTTTTCTGGCGCAGATGACGTTTACCGAAGGAAGCGATCTGAAAGACGATACGAGGCAAGGATGGAAAAGAGCGAATCTTAGCTGAAGGGCTCCCAGGGACACGTGGCGGTGTTTGCACCCGTGCGATAGAAGCAGTGCTGCAGCGTGGCGGTCTGTGCACGAGGAGCTGCTGGCTGGCGCTCCGGGGCGGTGGTTGTTAGCAGCGCGTTCTGCACTTTTTGCATTTAACCAAATTCAACCTTTGTTGGGTTGGTACTTCTAAATAAACTGAACTGAGCACACGGTCTGACTGCTGCTTCTCTTTGCTCGAGCAAACACCATTCTGAAAACACCAGGGTGTGCTTATCCCACGTGTGCATCGTGGCAGGAAGGAAACGTTCCTTTTCCATTAGATTGCTCTGGACAGATGAAGGCTGCTCTCGTGTCCTGTTAGTGTTCTTTGTGCGCAGTGTAGTGCAATTCTAACTCGGTTCCATAGGACAGGCGTACAGCTCAGTGTTTATTCTGCCTGCACTGCTGTGGGAAATCATCCGTGCCCTGCTGCACTGCCTGCAGTGGTGGCTCTTACAAAGTGATGCACGGGCTGAGGGGAAGAAAAGGTTGATGGAAGGGAAGGAAGCCACAATGCTGCTGTGCTCTGAGGCCCTGATTGGAGGACTGAGGTCACTGCATGGCCTGGGGCACCTCCAGGGATGGGCACCCCCAGGGATGGGCACCTCACAGCCTGACTTTGTGCTGTACTTCATACTGAAGCGCTGTTGTACTCCAGTTCCATCTGCCTTTGGGTATTTTTTGTGCTGCTGCTTTGTTTTCTCATTTTTTCTCTGTTTTTTTAAGAAAGCCCTGTGCCCCAGCAGCATCTCAACATTCCACCTGCTATGGACATTCTCCCTGTGACCTCTCATAGCACTCCCATTACAATAGTAGTGTCTCAGCGAATCAACAGCCAATTTATTGTATCAGAGCTTTCTTATTTCACCACAGTGAGAGTGCTGGGCACATAGGAAGTTGGCTTCAGTGTCTCCAGTTAAGCAACACAGACAGACAGGAGTGCCAGTGGCTCACAAGCAGTTCATACTGGGGAGTTCAGCAGCGCCAGTCTTCGTGCAGGAGAGAATCCTCTGAGCTGGCACTGCACCATTCCAGCCATGAGGCAACACAGGATTTCAGTTACAGAAGATGAAGCTCATGAATGCTGGAAGCAGAGCAGCTGAGCCCTGTCCTGACCCATTCCATGCCAAGCACACCTGGTGGGGATTTTGGATCGGTTTTACTCCACACCCACTCTTTAGGATTGCTGCTCATTCGCAGAATCACAGGTTGGAAGGGACCTCAAGGATCATGAAGCTCCCACCTCCCTGCCACATGCAGGGCCACCAACCTCCACATTTCACACCAGCCCAGGCTGCCCAGGGCCCCATCCAACCTGGCCTTGAACACCTCCAGGGATGGACGGGGCATCCACAGCCTCTCTGAGCAGCTGTTCCAGCACCTCACCACTCCCACAGTAAGGAACTTCCCCCTGACATCCAACCTAAATCTTCCCTCCCACTCCAGCACCGAGAACACAGCGTTTCTGTTAGATGCTGTGGGAGCAAGCCAGGACACAGCTTTCAGTGTCAGCCCTGCCAGCTGCGGACTCAAGCACATCTGTTCAGTCTGCAGGGAGTTCACCTGGCACCAGCACAGCACCTGCAGCTCAGCAGTTCTTCTGGCAGCAGCCACAGCAGGAGGCTCTGAGCACGAGCAAAGCATCACTGCTGAAAGCTTCCCAGGTGGTGAGTGGGGCCCAAACTGTGCCTGCACTCTGACTATGAATAGCAGCAACTGCTCCTGAGAGGTGCAGACACCTGCAACAGGACTGTGACTTCCTAGGAATGTCCTTAAATCCTTCTTGGGCGTTTGTGCTTGGCACAGAGCATGAGGATTCTTTGTAGTCCTCCCCAAACCATCTGATGGAAATGGGTTGCAGACTTTGGGATGGACGGAGCATCCATCATCATTTTTTGTCAAAGGCTGCAGAGCATCCTTTGTGTCAAATGAGCAGAGACAGACCAGCAACTGGTGCTGCTGTGCAACTCTGGGGATTTTCCTTTCTGCTTTCACGTCTGTCTGCTGCCTCCTTTGGTAGAGGTTAAGCTGCACATCTACAGCACAGGACTTCTGAACAGCAGAGCTGATCGAAGGAGCAGCAGACTGGGACTCTTTGCTTGCACCACTGGATCCTAATGCACTGCAGGCACTTGCAGAAGGCCTGCTGATTTGTTTTCTTTTTTTGATGTATTTACTTTTTGTTTGACAGTCAAATTAAACTTACTGAAAAATGCAGCAAGCAAAAGGAAGATGAATTCCTTCATTAAACGCTTTACCTGTCAATGAACCAGAACCCCTTCCTTGCTGCTGTTGAAAGCACTCAGCTACTTTGAAACACCACTTCCACTCAGTGCTTGCTGCTGGGAGCAGGCTAGGCAGATCTGAGCGACCTCCAGAACCTCACGCTGACCAAATACTATGTGAAGAATGACCTGAATTAGTCTCCCTGTGTGCCTTCCCGTGGGCTTCTAGGAGGGTGGCAGTTCTGCCAAGCTGCAGCCTGCGTGCCAGGCAGTGTTCATCCCTCGGGTGAGACATTAATGCCTGTTAATTAAACAGTAAGCGTGTTCTGGTTAAGTAGCTCTCTGCAAAGCATGGCAGAGGCACCTCAACACAAAACAAGGCTGCTATCGTTTAATTTCTCTTGCTGTTGGTGTTATCAAAGAGAACTTCCATCCCAGTTTTCAATTTTATTGGGTAAAAGATGCTTTTTCCACGTTGTTTTTCTAATTCCCTTCATTACCCAGCTACATCAAAGAAGTCCTGAACCAGGTTAGCTTCCAGCACGAAACTGAGGCTTGCTGTTTATTTTCAAAGCAGTTAACGTGGAGGCAAATGGACCCGACTGCATCTTATCACCTCTGCTTAGCACACCATGTATTTTCCAGGGCTCCCTTCGTGCTCCTTATGGCTCATTTTTCAACGCCACTCTTCTTAGCACCAGCAGAAGTGTCTCACAACACAAAGGATAAGAGAAGAAGATTCTTCACCCACACACATGCATGCACATAGGGAGGATCCCATAGCATCAACACCAGCCAGAATTACTTGAAGGAAAATCCCAGCAGAAGCCTTGATGGGACACTCAAACCTGGTTAATCCAAAACCACTTTGCAAACTATTTTTATTCAAATTAAAAAGACTCAGGTAAACAAAGTGATGGTACATACATGTTACACACCTGGTTATCAGCTTAACCCTCGGGAGTACAAGATGGAATGAGCAGCCAAACAGGGACTGACCAGGTCTGAAACCATGTGCTGAAAAAGAAGTCACCAACATCAACTTTTTTTTTTTTTTTTTTTTTTCTTACAGAAATGGTAAATTTTCTCATAGAAGAGAAGAGCTGAGGAAGAGAACAAATAATTATTACTCATCTCCAACTGGTTTATGAAAATACCGGTCCTAGGTCGATCTATTTCCACTCTCTCAGAAGCCAACCATTTCCCATACATACATTTATTTTAATAGGAAAGTTTCATTTATGCTGATACAGTGAAAAGCAGTGGAAAACAAATGAGGGGTTCAAATGCCCACAAAGAGAGGAAAAGACAGACAGACGTCTTTTCTTGTCTTGTTTTTAAACCAGAGTCAAAAAAAAACCCAAAAACAAAACAGTTCCTTTTGCTGGTTTTGAATTCTAGACTGTAGCCATCATATCCCAAACCTTCCTGCCATCAACTGAAACATCTCCTATGCAGAGACACGATTTTGAAATAAATAAAGCTTATCAGAATTGATTAGGGCCAGCCCCGTGGCTCAGCGGTAGTGCTCTGCACTGCCTTAACAGGAGGAGCCAGGCTTCGTGGGGATTCCCAACCTCTTGCCCCTGGGCCAGGGAGCAGTGGGAGCACTGAGAGCAGTGGGAGCAGCATTTTGGCTGCTCGGGCAGAACAGAGCCAGTGCTGCACGTCTGCTCATCACCGGCCTTCAGATAAATTAAACATCTGAGTTACACGGGCTCCGGAGGGAGTCCCATCCAGTCCTCCAAAGAAAATAAATAGAACAATAAGTTAACTAAAATCCATCCCAGGTTCTTTGGTGTAGTTTTTTGTTCATGCTGAGAACAAGACCATCTGGTGGTATTACTACAACCCACGGTAATTCCAAGTGCTTGGAAACCAGGATTTGCTGCCCGATTCGCTTCAATGTCTCATCTGTGTGGCTAAAACTGCAAAGCCTATGGTAATTTAAATGTGTTCTAAGATGATAGTGTGTATATACAGGAGGTCTAGGTGTACTCTGTTTCTATCTCATGAAACAAATGTGGTTCTTTACTGGCCTTTGTAAATGATTTCTGTACCACAGGTGCTCTACTTGTAGAGCTGTCCATTGTAATTTCCTATAAGATTTTGCTTGGCTCCCTTTTCCTCACATCCCAGTGTATATCTGTCCTAAAATATCCCTAAGTGCCCACCTCTAATTACAGGGTTTTCTGTGCAATGAATGTGGGGCTGGAATAGGAGGGGAACCAGCCAGTGACATTTAAGAATAGTTCATACTTGCCTGTCCCTTCCCTCATCAGTATTCAATTGCATTACCAAACAGAACCCAATATCTGAAGAAAAACATTTAACCTTCTGCCAATATAAATGCTAAAGCACTCTGTATGAGCAGACTTTAAAACACCTTTCCAAATGATAAACGTTTCTAGAAGCAGTATGAAAGCAGATCAGCAAATTATTCTTTTGGACTGAGTTGCAGCGACCGCATTTGTGCCAACAGTTTTTTGTTTGTTTGTTTGTTTTTCAAATTAGTGCTGTTTTCCCAGTTAAGTTGTGCAATCCAAGAGCTCTCTTTTTCTAAAATTGAGTTTGTGAAAGCAAACGGCTTTGCAGCCCAAAAGGTCAGTTAGTCAGCTACAGTGAAGTCTTCAGGAAAGGCAGTCACAACCTCAACATTTGGCAAGAGGAGCCTACACATACCTTACTGAGCTAAACAACAGGAGCACAAAGCCCTCTGAAGGCTGCAGTGCACAATGCACTCTGTCTCCAATGCACAAGGTATGTTGAACTTACAGTACTACTCTGAAATTGAATTCATGTGTTACATTTCCAATTTTGCCTTGTAAAACTTTCATTAGTGTGAATCAATACACTTAATAGAAAAATGTCTTACGGTGCCCAATCATTAACAGAATATGTGTGGATTTAAAACCATGTGACTCTACCAACAAAACAGCTTCCCC